AAAAAGATCTCTTAAAAGAAAAAGATCTCTTAAAAGAAAAAGATCTCTTAAAAGAAAAAGATCTCTTAAAAGAAAAAGAGCTCTTAAATTCTTTACCAGAATATCATCATCATAATAAACAAAAATTGCTTAGCTATAAAGTAGCAAAGTCTCAGCAATATTTTCAATTATAGTTATTAATGACAAAAAAATAAATAAACCAATAAATAAAAATAAAATAGAAAAATTACAAGAATTTAATGTGAAAAACAAGTTTTCTGTTTGCTATTAATTTATTGAAACTATATTGGAACAAATTTGTTATGACTAACAGAAAAGAATTCAGATATTGATTATCGGTATGAAAGAGTTCAATCATAAATACTCACAAATCCATGATCCTATTTGATGAATAAAAATTATCTTTACCATTATGATGCATAAATAGCATTTATCAATAAAAGATTTAGAAAAAAAATGGATTATCTACCACTGTCACTTACACCTACTGATTTCTTTTTTAAAACTTATGTACTTAAATGATTTCATAACTAATACTGAAATTGTTGAGAATATAAAATCACAAGGATAGATGATTAACAAAATATGCTTCTGCTGTACAGGTCACATTATAAAGATGAATGACTCCTCTACCAAAAGTTTTATTGTTCAGTAAAGAACACAACTTGCTGACAAAAAAAAAAAAAAAAAAAAGAAAAAAGAAAAAGTCATCCACAATCTAGCTTCCTTTTTAAGAAAACTGCAGAACCACTGTTGTGAAAAACAGATGAAAAATCCAAATTTCAACAAAAGAAATTAACCTTATCATATTTAAACATTCTGCATGTCCTATATTGACCTCATCAAAAAACCTATATAAGATGTGAAATGCTTTATTAGATCTTAGCATTAAATAACTTCTACAATTTCTGAAGTATAGTGCAAAATCAGTGCTCAAATAAGTGATATACTGACTTTATAGCAGTTCATTTCCTACTTCCAAACAACAATATGACAAATATATTAGCAAGTTTTTAATGCAAAGAAAATTAATTTTCCTGTTCATACTAATAGATGATAATATTTTGGAGATACTTAGCTGTCGAATAGAGATTAGCAAGTTAATCTTGCAGACTGTTAGTAGTCATAAGATCAAGCCTCACTACATGTCCACACCTGTACCATACTAAGTTTAGTATATATATTTTTTTTACTCAAGACTTCATAGCCTACTTCTTAATAGACAGTATACTAGTAAATAGTTTAAAAAAAAAAAAATCTATTACAATTACAACCGGAATGAAAGTCTTTCAATTAAAAAATGGTCAAAGCATTCAAACAGCTACTTAAAATAGCTGCAAGGCAAAATAGACCATCAGTTATCTTTAAAAGCTTAATAACTTAATGGCTAGAGGAAGGTAACTTATACAAAAAGTGTCCTATTTTCACCATAACATCAATTCTGACCTTTGTGAAAGAGCTTAATGCTAACATCAGATAAACAGGGATACTATTCTGTTACCCAACATAGTTATCTTTAGAATTTAAATAAAGTAAGAATCCATTTTCCTTATTTATTGTTACTAAATTTTTGAATCTTATAGCAAAACTTATTATCTTGAGAAAAATCTTTAAAAAAGTTTCATTAAATGTTTCTCACAACATATCAGTTTCATAAACTACATCCTAATATTGAAACTTGTTCAGGCTGAAATCATGCGCAATATATCCTAAATATATTTTAATTAGGTATTTTCAAAGAAGAATATTAATTTACTTTAGACAAACATGAGAACATATATAGTCAATAATGTCTTGAAATTAGAAAAATCCTTTTTTTTTTCTTTATCAAATTCACATTAACCATTTAGATAGCATCAATTTAAATTTAACTACTTTCATTTTAGAACAGGACTTAAATAATTTCAAAACAGGATTTTAGAAATACACACACAAAGACAAACTGAATTATTTAATCAGTTACTGCATTGTTAACAAAGTTTTTTTTTTTTTTTTCCATGCAAATATAATTTTTCAGTTAGATGTATATAAAGAATGATTTGTTTCTAGTAAATTATTTTAAATATACACAACTATTTCAACATTGCCAAAATGCCCTATCATCCAGCTCACACTCCTCCCCAGTCTTCTGAACAAGAGTATAGGCTTATCCCTTGTTTCAGGTCCCTTCTAAAATATTTTCATTCTCTTTCACCCAGTAGCCCCTTAGTGACGTTGTCATCTGGTTTGAGGAGAATTGAGAGAAAAATATTAATTCACCTTTTCATCATATATACTGTATTCTCAATTTGTATATACAAAATTAGCATTACAGAAATATAGTTGACAAAATTATTTACGATATTTCTAGATTCTCCATATTTATTTTATGCGGTTGTATGAAGAGTTACAAAATGTTATCTTTTTAATCAAAGTATGAATAAGATTATTATACTCATTTTGTTATCTTGAAAAATATTCAAAACAGATACTAAAGTAAAATGTTTGTTTTTTTTAATTTAGAGTACATTAAGAAACATTACAATAAAAGTTAACTGCATAAAAACAAATAAAATTCAAACCGTAAGTGTATATTTGTAAATTATATTATTGATATATATAGTCTTTTTTCCTCATTTTTTAACAACAAATACTTATAAAGTTTCCTGATGAGATTTTAAATTTGAATGGTTATTGAAACAAATTTAACTTTAAAATGGGATAAATTCAAATAGTATTATGTATTAAATGAAATAATTATTTTGACAATGGACTGTTAATCCAAACAAGTTCATTTAATATCAACTGTGCTTCAAAACATTCCACTTTCAGCTGTATTGATCTGAATATACAGAAGGTTTGTTTTTTTTTTAACTTTGGATATAAACTTATTTTGATGAATGTAAAGTATGGTGTCAAGATATTTGTCAAAGTATTTTTTTATATAATTTCTTAATACACATAAAATAAGTACCAACATAAAGATTTTACAAATTCAATGAGATATATGAATTATGTTAAATAAAAATATTGGTAAAACATTACAAGATGACATCTTGATAAAAGATAACTAAAGATGTTCAAGGACAATCATGGTTCTCCACAACTTCCTGTCTTTTGTAGCTCTTAGTAAATTTTGTCTTTTTGCTATTTCTCTTAATCCTTGTTCTGCCAACCATTTACTTATTAGATAGCTTACCTAATAAGCATACATACATAGCCTATGTATGGTTTTCCTCTGTCCTTGCCTTCAGTATGTACTGTGAGGATCAAATTTTCTAAGCCCTCTTTTCTCTTTATGTACCCTAGAAGTTTCAACTCTCTTTCTGATGCTAAGTGTAAATGGTCATTTTTGCTTCCCTTTTCTAAAATGTTGTCATTGCTCACATGTTCAGTCCATGGTATCCTCAGCATCCTTCTGTATAACCACATTTGTTGCCTCAAATCTCTTCATCTGTGAGGAGATTGTTCAGCAGTCAATGCCATATAGGACTGATATTAAATTACAGTTCAGTCCACTTTTCTTTATTTCTAACAAAATTTTCCTGTTTCTTAATGCTTAGCTTTTGGAAGGCATCTTTCACTATCCCAGTGTGCCTTCAGATTTTGGTGTCACATTTACCATCTTATTTATCAACCATATTTTCTTTCAAGAACATTTTTTCTTTAGGAAGAAAAAGTCAAAATTTCTTTTCCGATTATATCATGCCAGGTCATTAATATCAGATCTTGATATTTAGCAACAAATGGTACAATTAGTCAAATCAAAATAATTTCTTCCTATATATTTTGATATTCTGTAAACTTGTCTAATTACATAGAGGCCAATAACATCAATATATATAATTATTCTATCATAATAAAATTCAAATGTTTACCAGCATAAGCGAACTGACAAATTGCTTAAATTCTCTAATATTTAAACAATATGGTACAATATCTGTCTATATGGTACAATTTAAAACTAATTTCAAGTTTGGGGAAGTGAAGCTATATTAAATATGAATAACATGATAGATTCACAAACAAAATAAATGCTAATTTTTCTTATTTTTACTTTATGACTATAATTAACACTGCAAAACTTAAATGAAGTACTGAAGGAAAAGTCTTCAAATCCATTTCTGAATAGAAATGTGGAGAATTCTATCAAACTAAGATGAACAAAATCAACTACTGATGTGCGTGCACACATACTTGTGTATGTTTGTGTGAAACAATCATACTATTGAAAATATTACTACAAAATTTTTTATACCAGTTTAATTTTACTGAAATGTGTAAATAGATATTTTTAATCAGAATGCATCAACAAGAAACCATCAACTTCCCATTTCTATGAATAATTTAATTTTGCTAGTGTAGATATTAAAAATATGTAAATAGCATGGAAAAGACAGATGCTCTAGATAAGAAAAATACTTTAAATGTAAGTAAACAAGGACGTTTTTAAGTAGAACAAAATTTTTAAAAAATAAAAAAATAAAAGTCAAATGGTGAAACTATCAACTAGAATTTTTTATATTAGCATGTACAACAAACAAAAATGATCATTTTTTAGTTATAAACAGAAGACATTTTCAAAATTATCTTAAAGTGTATACCTCATTTAAGAGCTAAACGGTATTTTTTATGGATGCACAATATTTTTTAAAATTTTAAACCTATAAAAGGGAACTTTTTTAAATTGAATTATTTAAAAACCTCTCCGAGTCTAATTAACATATATTAAAAACAATTGTTGGTATATAAATACTTTGAATGAAAAATTTCAGGTGTAAACATTTTTTTTCAAGATTAATTCACATTAAAAAAAAAGTGTTACAATATAAAAAATAAAATTTAGCCAAACTAATAAAACTTGATATAGTAGAGTAACTGTGTGTGCAGTATTGTAACTAGTGCAAAGGGAAACAAATTTCCATTATCCAAAGTGAAATAATACAAGGGGGTACTGAAAAGTTATTAAGAAAAGCTTCAAACATGAACAAAAATAATTCAGCCACACGAACATACAGAAATTAATAGAAACAAAATTTTGACAACAAAAAGAAGACAAAAATAAAACAAAACTCACCTTCTATATGGGAATAATCCGAATTTTGGCTGACTTTTTCTGGATCCATCCCAAAGCCACTGAATAAGAAACGAACAAGTTTCTCAGCATAGTGCAAGAATTTTGCACAGAAAAACATTGCAATAACAAACATAACTTTTATAAGCAGACAAACAGCAGAAAGTATGAATGAAAGAATGCCCTTTGCTTTTAAATTTCGAAGAGATTTTTTAAAATTGTTATGCTGTTGTAAAGGCATGATGATGATTATAGAAAATAATTCATCATGGATAAAAAGCGACACATAGTGGATGCAAAAAAAATCCACCGAAAAACACCTAGCACAGGTGAAGTTTAATGTATTAATTATTCCATTATGTAATCCAAGAAAAAAATACATAGAGTTTTCTTTCTTTCTTTGGGACAGTCATTTTGTTGATAGTTCTTCCATAGTTAGTGCAGGATAATTTGTAGCAACCACTAGTGCCACAGCCATGTTATCTTGTGCTGAATGCCTCATGTTTCAGAGTGGATACAGGATAGGCATTTTTGTTATTGTCAAGTCAGGAAGTATATTAATTCAACAGCAAAAGATAATGTAATAATCTCAACAGGATCAGCCCAAGTTGCATGGCTTCAAACAGCTACAGATATACATCAACACACACAAATAAGAGTTGTAGGAGTAAAAGCTAGTCTGCCTGCAAATAAACAAAAAAATCAGTAGTAGCCAGGTAGGAGTACTGCTACTAAGCACTAAACAGAGAAGCCGCCTTTCAGAGGTAGGCAAGTAGTAATTCCAGGTTTTAGTTTCTGTCCAGATGAACCACTGTCTGCAGCTGACAGAAAAGTACTGTCACTAAACAAAACTGCCTACTAACTGTAGTATCTGGGATATACATTGTATATTGCTCAGCTGACATTTCATTGTCTAAACACAAACTCAAAATAATATGTAAAGATTACAGCCTACAACTAGTGACACATACTCATAAAACTGATAAGGATTTACAGGCTTTATTGACATTTCATTTCTAAATTTTACAGACATAACCTGTTGATTGCTAAGTTTCTAGAGTGTACCATCATAGCCATAAACAGTACTAATTTGACAATTTTTTGTAAGCTTTTTATGAGTGCTAACCTTATTGTAGTAAAAATGATAACTAAAGTTATTTATTAATAACTTCAATGTGTATCTAATCATGTTTACAAATATTTAGTAAAATTCAATCTTGGCCCTTGATGTATCATCATTCTGTTTAAGTGGTCAAATTGTAAAAATATTTTTATCAAAATGTAATTCTGCTTAATGTATTTGCTTCTATTAAAACCAAATACATATCTTTGTAATTATTTAGTCATGCTAATAACTTAGGACAGAGTTGCACCAAATTCTATCAATCCCAGATAATAAGAACAATGAAACTGTGTTTCCCATCTAACAAAATTCCAAGAGAAGTCGTTTGTTTCACCAGTTATACATTTTAAATAATACAAGCGGAGAGAGAATCAACTTCATTTATAATTTGAATATTTCCTAATCCATTCCTGGTCAGTAGCTAGCACATGCTACAATTTTTCAGTTGGTAAAAGGGAAATATAAAAGTTAAAACTTGAGAAAAAAGTTATATGCATGCAAGCATGTGCTTGGTTGGCCATCTCCACTCTCTCCTCCCTTATGACTAGAACGATCTTTCAACAGGAGATAACTTGATGAAAGCCACAGAAATATTTACATAAAGAGTGACATCCTAAAATTCAGAATGTATAAAAGGCAAACTAAACATGCCATATGCTTTCTCCTTCAGGAAATAAAAACAACACTCAACAGAAATTAATATTTTCCCAAATCTTCTTTCAGAATATTAAAAGAAATTTATAAGCAGTTTTTACTAGTAGAAATGATAATCACTTTGATATAACATTCCTTTCAGTTTTGTTTAATAAAAAAAACAAAAAAACAAAGCGAAATAAGTAAATTAATAATCACATACAATGAGTTCATTTTATAGAAGAACCCTCAATTACCCCACCTCAGATTCTTCTAAATGACTGAGAAAAGAGCAAATGGCTTTTATGTGTCCTGAGAACTAGCAGCCAGGAAGGACATAATTTCTGCTATTTCAACATAGTAGTAGATTTACTCTAAATAATATGCTATTTCACATTAACTGTTTTAAGTTACTTAAGTCAGTACAGTGCTAATAAAGTAGTGAAGGTAGGTGTATTACTCTTGATTTAGCAAACCTATACATGAGACTGCTGGAAAGTATTTCTTGATAACTTTCTTTCCCTCCATTTTTCTGGTTGTAATAAATTTACTTCAGCTTAACTAACATCTTTTTAAAATACATGCAAGGGATTGTGTTTGGTGTAGACAAAAATAACTTTCAGAAATGTCTAAATATTTGTAATCTAGTTCTCGTTAAGAATCAAACATTTTAAAATTCTGTGAAAATCTCATTGTAATTAAAATACACTTTATTTTCAAGCAAAAAAATTTAATTTGTTCATAAAACTTCTTTGGAAACAGATCATTCATAAAAAAAAAATTTTGTGTATATTGTAATATCTACTACAGTAAACAAAAGTTTTTAAGCAAATGGAACAGGTTTCACTATAAGCCTAAAAATTAGCTTACTTTAGCAAGTACCGGTAAATTTTAGTTACAATAAATGTTACTAACATGATACTGTTGATTTTAACTCAAATATTTTACATGGCATAAAAGCAATAATATAAATGAATAATAATACAACTTAGTTTACAAATAACCCTACAGCAACATTATATATATATATATAAGAAATTTAGTAATATTTAGTAAAATTATAAAAATTACATTTAATATAACATTTCTTTTATGCAAGTACTTTAAATACAAGTTAGAAAAAAATGTCTTTTTATAATATTTAAATTTAACAGACATGACTGACATCTGAAATAAACATTATCAAATAAGACAATTGTTTGATCTCTGATAAGTTATCATTCATTCTTTATTCTCTTTATATATTTCTGCTTAGTGGCTTTAAAATATGGAATTAACAATTTGCACTCATCAGGAAAACTTTCCTTATTTGTGCTTAACAAGAAAACCCAATAAATCAAAAACAATTTGTATCAAAATTCAAAGTGCACAATCCCACTACTACTCACTTCAGTGCTATTATTTATTTTTAGGACATTTGCTATTATTTAGTTATCATCCTTGAGTGACCAGCAAATGATAGTGGTAATACAAGAAATACCTAAATGATACAAGTACACAGTTATATAAACACAGATGATAAAACATCTGCAGAAATTAGACTGGTTGGGTGTTTTCATACAGTCAGACATCCTAATTGTTATTTCAGAAATTTTTAGTTTGCTATCAGCCAATTTCTAAAAACTGAGATTAGTGAGATTCCACATGCACAAATAATGTTAATAGCTTATTAAATTAAAAGATGATTATGTAAAACAAAAATTAAATTTAATAATCATTTTAAAAGTAAAATATATACTGATTAGTGCATTTTATATAAAATTTCATGCTATAGTTTATAATATTAATCTGAGCAAATTACATGACGAGTTAAAAATTTAGGTTCCATTTCAGATGCCATATCATTTATCACTTCAATTCAAACAACTTAGCATATAGGAGCTTTTAGGCACTCCTCAAATGAGTTAATCAGATCTAAATCAAAGAAATAAGTACATATATAAGTAAAAAAAAAATAATTATGAAGTTCATGGAAAGAACTATTTTAATATGTGAAAGACTTTGATTCAATACTACTTTTACAGTAAAAACAAATTACTTGGTATTGACAGTATTTTGATTAAAAAAAGAAAAATGTTTATACTGTAAAAATAGTTAGAAAAGGAGAAATAAATTACAATTTTGGTATTTATTATAGATCTGAAGACAATAATGACTAATGAATAAAATTCTTATGATCTTAAATAGTGCATGTATGTACACTTGAGAACCTAGCTAGCCTTAAGAGAAGAGTTTTGCTTCTTCATAATATAGCTTAATAAAGAAGTAAAGAAGTTGCCATGTCCATCAAGATGCATCTTAATGATGAGAACATCTACTTCTAGAACTACATGAATATTCATACCTTATAAATATCACATTTTATAAAGAATATATAACTAAACATGATCATGCATACGTTTATAAAAATTTAAAAAATCTTGCTAAAAATCTGACACCGAAACCACAAATCTAAACACAATACGGCTGAATGAAGAATCAACTTCATTGACAAAACTGCCAATACAGCTTAGTAAAATCTGTCAAGTTATTTTAGCACAAAAAATAGTAACATTAAAATTCCATTGTATCCTTTGCTTAATACCCACTTTATTAGAATTGAATCTAAACACTTACCTAAACAAAAGCTATACATGTATATCTTTATACTAATTAAAAAAAAGTTATTAATAAAAGTTTATCATCTGCAAAGTGAAATCAGAGCCTTACAGAAACAATATTTTCACAAGTCAGCAAACATGGGTCCATAATTTATATAAAGCTTATTATATAAATGACTTTCAAATGATCTGTTATTGTTTGACAATCTGCAAAAATTTAAACTATTAAAAAGATTTTCAAGTCTACCTTTTATAAATTCAAATAACAGATAAATGTATAGCAAAAAATAAAAAGAAACATAGCTGTTACACATTCTCTTCCTTTGATCACATATACATATGTATTAGTACACACAAAAGAATTTAAAAAATTTTAAGCCATTCAACAAATTTATTATTGAAGAGATTTGCTAAAAGCTATTTAGAACCATTTTTATTCAATTCTCAATTTGTTTGCTTTCCTTACAAAGAATCTTTTTGTATTTACAACTTGTAAAGTTAATTAATTTTCTAGTTAAATTTAATCCAATTAGAAGCGCATTTCTCAATTTTTCACTCACTGATTCTGCAACAACAATAAAACAATCTGAGAGTATTTTGTGTGCAGTAAGAAATAAAATAACTGTTCTCTGTACAGATTAATTTGCTATTTAACAGATTTTTAATGTTACTTCAAAAACAGTATCAAATTCATTTCTGAATAAAAAACAATGCCAGTATTATCTATGCAATATTTGAAGATGTTACTGAATGAAAGCAATTAAGTTCTATTGTACAATAAACTGATAGTTTTTGCATACTTTACAACCTAAATTAATACTCATAGTTTTTAGAATAAATATTTAATTTTAGTGTCAAATTTACTCTACATCTTAATTTTTTTTTTAATTTTTGAAATTTAATGAAAAAATACTTATAACAGGGGATTTAAAATCCAATATGAAGTTGAATATTCATAAAGACAGTTATATACTGTATAAATGTTTGTTTAATGATATTTAAAAGGTGTTTATTTATTTGGGTTGGGATAAAATGTCAGCAAGAAAAAAGTTTAAGTTTTGTATAACTAAAGAAAAAAAAAAAATTATAACTAATATTTTGTTTTTTGTCTTTATCCAACAGTATTGAATAAATTTAGAAATCAAAATTAAAGTGATGCCAGAAATTCAAGGAATGGCCCATATCCTATTGCTCACATCCTATTTAATAGGATAAAGTAAATAGCAAAATAATGTGAAGGATGTTCTTTAGCTATATTGATAGAGGAAAGTGTTTTATCACAATACTTTTTTTTTTTACTAAATATAGAGCATCTGCCATTCAAAGTTGAGATTTGTAAATATCTATAATAATCTAATTTATATTATTATCAAGTTTTATTTAGAACTAAAAACATTTAGAAATAGGAATTTAGTAATAAAAAAAAAATTCAGTATTTGATTTGATCAGATAACCTATAATTTACAGAAAAAAACCTGGTTAAAAGTAAAGAAACTATTTTATAATTCCTTTTTGGAGTTACTTCTGAAAAATAAATCTATAAAAGTTACTATTTTCATAAGTATTATCAATAAAAGAAATGGTTAATCTTTCTAATCTGTGATCAAATCACTGCTTCAATAAATCATTAAAAATTTAACAAAGATATGAATTAAATTAAAATGAAGAGTAAACAGCAAAAGCAAAAAAAATGATAAAAACAAACAACAACAACAAAAAACAATTGTTTTACTTCATTAAAGAAAAAACAAAAAATAAAAAAAAGATAAATCTAAGAAACAAGCAAATAATTTGTAAATGAGCATTCAATATATTCATGCCTAACACTGCTGGTTTTTCTATCTGGCCAGATCATAACTGCAAAGATGAAAGGGGACAGCAATAGATGGATATTGAAGATGAAGCAAAACAAAAGAATGTTTAAAAGAGAAAATGGCAAGAGATGAGATTAAAAGTGAACAGCAAGCAAGACTTATTAGTATTCAGTACATTTCAGGACAGGAACAGTGTCAGATTAAATCAGGACCAAAAAGGGGTAATAAGTATTAAAAAAAAAAAAAAAAAAGACAAGGACATCAACTAAATTTAGCAAGGCACAGAACTCATGACTAACAGAGGAAAGGAAAACATCCACACAAAAAAAAAAGAAAAAAAAAAAGAAAAAACATATGAATTAAAAAATTTGAATGACTGCATATATTGGACTATAGACATGAAAGGATTAAAACAGTAACTATTACTTTCTTTAGTACAGTTGCCTACAAAAATTTATGTTTTCTTATTTTCACTGTCATATAAAGAACCCAAGTGGTTTATAACAATACTGGAAAATGTACAAAAGAAATATAATCTCAAAAATACAGTTTAAAATATCAAATGAAGCACAGTATAACTTTAAAAAGTGTGGATTTATGTGACCTTTTAGTCAATTACTGGACTAACACATTATTATATGTCAAAATATAAAATGTGGAGACCTGCTTCCAATTTAGGATCCTTTATTAACTGGTAATATATACATTGAATAACATAATAGGCAAAGTCCTTAAATATTTTTGCAAAACGCAAAATTCATTTTTTTTTTTTTTTGCATGCCTTGTCCTTTTAAAATGTAGGCAATCATGGCTCTTCACAAATTCCTCTATTATCTGTGAATTGCTAAGCCTTTTTGGGAAGATAATGGAGTGGTTTCCTGTTACCTTTTCCTTGGTTTAGAATTCAGTCTTCCTTTCCTTAGATTGGTTGCTACCTGAGGCTAGAAATTGTTCTGCTATTTAACTAATAGCTGAAAGGAGAAGAGATGAATCCATACCATTCCCAAAGGCATGTATGAAAGTGAATGCAGCGAACTATGCTGACATTTGAATTCAACTAAAACTCCAAAATTCTCTAAAACTCCAACACAATTTGTTTCAGAATCATTAGTTAATTTAGAAAACATATCTGAATCAATAACTTTAGTACTGTAACAATAGTAAAAACTTAATTTAATACAAATTTTTATCTAAACCTAAATACTTTAGCATTTTATTGAACGAATCAAAAAAAAAAAAAAAAAAAAAAAGCATTCAGTTGTTCATGAAAGAATTTTTGTTGATTGCTTTTTCAAATCTATGTAATACACATAGAAATAAAAACTATTTTAGATGTTTTTAAATTGTTTTAAAAAAATATAAGCACTATGTTCATTTAGAATGAACCATTTATTTTGTAAATGATAGTCAATTGTAAGAGATTATGTTGATTTTTATTGAATAGCCTAAAATGTACATTCTGTTTTTGTTGTTAGATGATGGCATTCAGTGCATTTAAAGAAATTTTAACAGCGACCATATTAATAGGCACTTTTTCTCAAAATTGATATATTTCTGTTTGACATTATTAAAGCATTGAAGTTAGAAAAATATTTTCAAAATATTATGCTTTATATTTTAAAGCTAAAATAAGGTAGTAGCAAAAAAAAAATTGTGCAGTTGGTGGAAAAGGAAGTACTGTGAATGATGGAAACTTAAGAGTGGTTTACAAAGTTTCATGCGAGAGATTTCTTACTGAATGATGTTTCATGATCAGGTAGACCAGCTGAGATTGATAAGAATCAAATTAACGCATCAATTGAGATAAACATTATATCCACACAAGAGATAGTAAACATTCAAAGACAAATCAAGCACTGAAAATCATTTGCATCAACTTGGTTATGTTAGTCCCTTTGATGTGTAACTTCCATAGAAAGAAGTTAAGCAAAACCAATGTTCTAGACTTTATTTTCTGGTTTAATTTGTTACTTAAACTTCATGTTTACTATTTTTAAACAAATTGTAACAGGCAATGAAAGTGGGTACTTTACAACAGCATGAAACAAGATACTTTTGGTCAAGTAAAATGTAACATTTACTGAGTATACCAAAAGCTGGTCTTCATCCAAACAAGGGGATGCCATGTATAGGGTGAGATTGGAAGATAATCCTGTTACTTCTTTTCAGCAAAGTAAATGATTGATATGATCAAGTACAGCTCTCAATCAGATGAAATGAAGGTAACAACTTTAGAATTAGTTAAGCAAAAGGATACACTATTACATCAGGATTAAATGAAATTGCATATTTCTTTGGCAACCAGGAAAAAAAATTGACATAACTTGGCTGGAGAGTTTTTGGATATTTACTTTATTCACTAGATATTGCACCTTTGGATTACTATTTATTCTGGTCTTTACAATTATTTAATTTTCTGAAAACTAAAAAGTTATATAGAGCAATTCTTTACTGAGAAAGATGGAATTCTGAAACTGGAAGGATGAGATTATGATTTTGCCAAAAGACAACAAAATAAATTACTTAATAAATGCTGAAAATAAAAACTGCTTTAACTTAAACCTAATGAACCTTTTGGCCACCTATTAATAATACTCAAATGGTTCTTTTTAAATAAACATTCCAATAATTATTTAAATAAGCTCTTTTTACTCTAAGGAGATTTATTTAGCATTGATGAAACACAAACTTGTAAAATATTTTAGTCTACTGGGATGGGGGATCAATAAAGACCCAAATGTTAGCCAATAAATTAGAATATGCCTTCACCATCCATTAAAAAAAAAAAAAAAAAAAAAAAAAAAAAAAGTATCAAGATATGATATGCTGGGTTGAGAGTTAAGCAAACATAGCAAAAGCCATTTCTTTAGTTGAGTGGAAGAGCATTTAGATAATGAGAATATAATGGTGAAGAGGGAATAAGGCATAGTAATAGTAGCTCACACAGAGTATATGCAGGTAGACACAAGTTCAGATGATGACCAGCAGTGGGGGGCAAAGAAGAATCAGCCTGACCCCTGGTGTACAACACTATTATCAGTGCGTACTTGGTGCAGCCCTACTAACCCTTTGTGCATGGTGGAGGAGACATCAATTCGCTGGTGGCGCAAATGACAACATTGGCTGCAGCCAACAAGCCGCTGAAGTCTGTTGGAAATATGAGCACAGGAAACATCATAGCAATGAAGCATGCAACACAACAAACAAGCTACATATGAACAGTAGCAAAAATCAAATGTTTATAAACAACATTAATAGCATCATGCAGTTAATTATAAATCATTTAAAATTATAAGTTACAGCCTTTATAAATGTCATCCATTTTAATATTTACAAAAATTAAATTATGTTCTAAAACATTTTCTTTAATACTATCTTTAACGCAAACTTGCATAAATCCAATTGTTTTACTTTTCTATGAGAATTTTATCAAAAAATTTTTTTTAATGAAAAATTAAATAAAATCACTCATATTTGAATGGAATGTTATTTGTATTCATATTATTCATGCCAAGAAATTTTGTAGAAAGCAGAATGATAAAATAAACAGTTATTGATTTATAGACTAATCATGTCAGATTCTCATGATAGTTAAAATACACTTATGAATAAACCATGCAATTAATAAAAAATATTAGCATGCATAATTACTAAATGTACACCAAATATACACTCAACTTCAAATGGTAAACTTTGCATCCCTTTAAATTCTAATTTCAAGAGAATTAAAAAGAATAAAAATTGAGTAGAAAAAGAGTATATCCAGTAAAGAAATTAATTTAATCCTAACATAATTAATACTATCAGTATAAATATAAATGCATGATATGACAATATTATTATAAAAAAATAAGATTGCCAAAGTCTAATCTGAAGTATTATTAAAACAGGTTAAATAGTTCTTATTTTTATGGATTCATAATGTTGACTGAACTTGCTTACACACATTTTAATTTCACTAACAAGCATTCAATCAATTAATACTTAATCTGCTTTAATCATGTGTATTGCCAAAAGGGGCAACATACTTAAAATAATTATGCAAGAAACAAAAGGACAAACACAAAGAAGCAAACACAGATGTTTGCAAACACAAAAATGACAGGCAAGCTAATTTATAACTTCAGTTCATAGATTACATTTTCCTGTAACATCCATGCTTAATCATGTATAACAGAGCAACAGAAATTAACATGGAAAACTAGATTCAGAAATCAAATTATGCAAAGCTTTTATCAAAATTAATGACACACAAAAAAGTAAGACAACAAAAAGACCTGAGTACAATCAAGAAAATATTTAAAAATATAACTGAATATCTTATTTTAACCAAATGTCTTTATAAACTGTAGTATAAGTAGCTATATCTTTCAATGAAAGTGACGGGTAACAATAATCTATCACAAAAATAGCAAAGGGGATTTGAATAAGGGAAGAAAAAGTTAAGCTAATTTGGAACTAACTTTATTTGAGTCAGAATATTATTTAATATCCATTGATTTGTATAGAAAAAATAACATACTATGACAAAAATCAAATTAATGTTTTCAATAATGATATTCAGAGTAACAGAAATTACATGTCCTGATATAACTAACACCAAATTTCTACAACTGGCAATGAATATTTGGCAAAGTTTAATCTTCATACCTGCAAAAAAAATGGTGACAATGTGTCAAAAGGATAGTTTTTCTGACACTGCTTTCACTATATACTTCCTGAGCAATGTTCATTGTTTTACAAAGCTGTTTAGAATTTTAATAAAACCCAAATAAAGTGGATTTTTTTATTTTTGAGAATTGACAGCTTTTTATAATATAATTTAAATAAACAGATAAAAAGATGAAGAACTGAAATTATAAATTTTTGAAAAACTGCATTTTCCTGGCATCTTTCATTTGCCCTCATCAAAAATTCACAAAAAATAGGTCAAGAACATCTCTTCCTCTGAATCAAACATTCTTTTAATTTTACATTTTATTGATCGATTCATTCATTTTCTATGGATTATCAACCTTCTCAGGTTATTTAAAGCCAGAAAATATTTTTAGATTGTAAGATATATATTTTTTTTTTTTGAGATGAAAATAATTCAGTGATACAAGTCTTACTAATTAACCCATAGCTGGGGTGAAAAGAGGTGGATTCATATCTTTCCCAAGAGTATTTGCACATAATGAATATAATAAACAAACTGGAATTGGAACTCAGCTCTCAGATTAACAATTTCAAGCCATTATCTATGACACCACCTGCAGATCCAAGCTTATAGCACCTGGTATTTCCAAGTGGTCACCCATATAAGTACTAACCAGGCTCGATACTGTTCAACTTTGGTGACTGTATCAGAACCAAGGTTTCAATGTGACATGGCTGTAAACCTTTACATTTTAGGCAAGACCACAAACACTCATTATTTTGAGTGTGTATCTCCCTATTCCTTGGATAGACTAAATTTTCCTTGTGTATTATTACAAAATGTCTATAATTTTACCAGATCATAATTATAAAAGAAACTGGAAAATTAAAACAAGTAATCTGAAATATAAATAATCTGAGAAGAAAATGTATGTTTGGAAAAATCATGTTTGTTTAAATTTTCTTGATCTATAGTTCATAGATATTTTTATAAATTTATGAATAAAAGGATTTGTTTTCATATTTCTTTTAGTAAATAATAAATATTGCATTGTAGTTGGTTTATATATTTTTAGAATCTTGTAAATAAGCAATCTGACAACTAAATAGGGTTTAATATTTTTGTTCTAACAGCTTTTTAAAACAAACATTGCTCAGAGAGTCAAATGAGAATACAGTAATAGCAGTGTCAAGAAAAAAACTGTCATTTTGACACTGTTGTTTTTTTTTGTTTTTTTGGGGGAGGGTATGAAGGTTAAACTTTGCCAAATATTCACAGAAAAAAATCATATTAATGAACTATCTTAGAAAGCAATTTAAAAAAAATGTTATAAAGCAAAAGATAATCAAATTGATTAGGAGCTGATCAAAATGACTGAAACAAATAGAAAGTTACATAAAGTTATTTATTAACAGCAAGATGCAACTATATAAAACTCACCTTATTTGTTCCAGCAAGCTTTCGCCTTCACTGACCGTACTTATAGCTGCCTCAATGGTTGTCTCCCTTTGTTCATTGAACTGAGCAACTAAATGCTCAGCTCCTTCTACTGAGTCTGCAATATCAGAGCTTTGTAATTCTTGTTGCAATTCTTCAAGCCACGATGTTAACTGAAATAAAGAAAAAATTACAAATAATTCTGTTATTAATAAGAAACACTTATAAAGCAACTTTAAATAAAGTAGTTACCAATTTAAACATTTTAATGAGTAGTTTCTTTGTTTAAAAAAAAAAAAAAAGTTTATATTGTTAAATAATACAATCACATTTTATAATGCAGGTCTTCAAATAAGCATGAATCATTTCATTATCCCACAGTCTTAAATGAGCAAATTTATAAAAAGTATTGTTTAATTTTTCTAGTCAGAATCCATCTTGTACAATTATAAATCTACTATTCATCCATGTATTGAATACTGTTGCCATATCTGGTTGGTGCCTTGCTTGGGATGAAAGGATTAAAAAAAAAAATCTTTGGAAAAACAGATTAAATCCATTACAACTTTATTGAGAATCATTACTAGTACATTTTTTTTTTCTGCTTTTGGCTCAGGTTTCTTAAATTTAGAAACAATTTGCAAAAAAACTTCATACACACATTTTATATATATATTTTATATATATATATATATATATATATGTGAGAGAGAGATAAAACCTTTTCTGTGTACAGGTTTAGGATTTTTCTTTTAAGTGTCATTTCCTTCCATGTCTTATGGTATTATAAGCTCATCACAGATTCATTCTATGACTTGCCATACCTTCTTGGGAAAAGACATTAGTATGAATGCAAAAGCAACAGACTAGGATCAAATTAACTTCTCTATTGATTCCACTTTCTGTGCTAATAACAATTACACTATCCACACACCAATATGCCTAATATGTTTTGTATTTAAGAGCATTATAATAGAAATAAAAAATTGTATAATCTAAGGACATTTACTTGCCTATTTTCATTAAAAAAAATATTACTCTTAAATTAATTATCTAATCTCATAACAATTATGTACAACATTTCTATCTTAATCACCAAAGTCAAAGACTTACCCATACATTTGATATTTAAATAGATTAAAAAATAAGTTTCTCTCCTCAATTAATATTTTTAATCAACATACTTTATATCTCCACAAAATAACAGACAATATTTTTTGAAAGTCACAAGAGAAACCATCATTAAGTTAGCTAAGATAACCTGTTTCTTTGTCAAATATAAAGTAATTTGGATTCTTGTAACTATTCTCCACTGCATTTTTCTTAATAGTAATGCACATTCTTTGGACTAAATTTTTTCTAAAATCAATAATGAAAAACGTTAGTAAAGTTATCAAAGAAAATTATCATTACTAATATTAACATGAAAATGGAAAGTAGGTTGGGTCAAGAACTTTTCAGCACACATTTGTATATAATTTTACCATCAGTAATAGTTTTATCATTAAAAGATCAGTATTATATTTGGAACAAATTAAAATCAACAACAACAAACTGATATTCAAATTTCACAATATTTATCCAATTAATTTTTCCCTACATGCTTAAAATTAGTTGCAATCTCAAACTGTTTACTAAGCTTAATTTAATCTGACATAAGACCACACATGTGAGGCACCTCACAGAATCGAACCTTATATAGTACTAAGTTGGGAAGACTAGTTTGCCAATAGGCAGTTAGATTAATCAGTTAATTAAAAATAAAGCCTAAAACCAATTCTGAATTTCTCCAATCAGAGGTCAAATTATCTTACCAATTAATTACTTCAACTATTACTAAATTATCCTTTAACTTTTGCTCTGTAAAGTTAAAGATAGTAATATAGCAGGCAAAAAATTTCTGGTCATATTCAAAAATTGTTTTCAGTACATTATGCATAAAACAAATGCAAAATATTCACAAATCTCAAAATATAGAGTTATTTCCAATCAATTTTAAATCTGTTCATTGATCTTAAGACAAACTAAATTATGAATAAAAAGTAGAAAAAAATGTAATGCTTTTTTAGAGAGAATAAATAGATTTATTAATAATCTGGCTGAAGAAATTAGATTGAAAGCAGTTAAATATTTAAAAAATGTAGCAGATTGTTATACATTAACAATTCTAAATTTCAATCTGGCATCAATCTATTTTGAAGTGTTATGAACAGAGATAAATTTCAATTCAAGGCTCCTTAAATGAGATATTATAATTTGACTGAATCATCAAAAAAGTTTATGTGAGTGTAACTAACTATTGTGATAGATAAGAAAGAACTTGATATCAGATAGCTTTAAATTATACAAATGATTAATGTTAAAAAAAAGAAAAAAAAAAAGAAGCCCTGTTGATACATTTTCAATTTCATTATATATATTTGTACATTTGAAGATGAGGACAGTCTAAGGGGTTATTTCTAAATTTAATCGTTGAATCACAAAATCAAAACAAGATTCATATAGTTATATTAACTAAAATGTATTTCCATAGCCATAATAATTATAGAATCTGATATATTCATAATGTATCTTTTAAAAAGTTTATGAATTAATGGGGTTTTTTTATATTAACAAAGTTAATTTGATGAAATTCCAGATGATGCACACAATATTTTCAAATATTTTATATATATATATATATATATATATATATATCTCAACAAAAAAAAAAAAAAAAAAAAAAAAAAAGAAAGAAAAGAATGAATAATTACTAACCTCATGAACATGTGTATAGAATGAGACTGTCATATCCAGGATAGCCCTCCTCCTCTCCAAAGCTGTGATAAAGTCATGCATACGTTCTTCAAGTTCTTGTGCTTCACTATAGATCTCTTTCGGATCGCATTCACCAGTTTGGGCCAATTCATCAGCAGCTGCTAATAGCTTGTCAGCATTTGTAATGGTATTCTGAAACAAATGAAAATTTCAATTTTGAATAAATATTCAGATATTAAATCACCAGAAATTAATTCAGCCATAAAAAAAAAAAAAAAAAAAAAAAAAAAAAAAAATTAAAATAAATATATATATATATATATATATATATATACACACACACACTTTACAAAGCTAAAATAAATATTTGTTAGGAAAATATATAATTTCTTAAAAACATAAAATGTAAAATAGATTTAATAAAAAGTTCTTGTATTTGAAATTATTCTCATTAGAGAGTGCTTATATCACCAAATGCAAAATAGCTGTTAAATATAATATTAAAATCTAAATATATACAAGACAAAAGTTTAGGGTAAAATCTTGAAACGGTGGATTATAAACAATTTTTTGCAAAGGATATACAAAATAAAATTAAACCTTTTATCAAATAATTCAAAGTACTCATCATGGCTGGATAAGAAGTCAAGGATAACAGTTAATTATAATATCAGTAAAACTATTTCATAGTAATAATACTAGAATTAAGAAATAGTCAAGTTATGTGTAACTGCTGCATAGATAGAGTCTCAAAAAGTACTACAATTTAAAAATAATACATTGTTTGCAAAAACCCTAATGGCATCTTCATTATTAAGTTTCCCCTGCTGAGAATTGAAATAGAATGCCAATAAATTGACCATTTATTGCTCCTGTATGCATTATTATGTTTACATTACTAAGGGACCAATTAAATTATTAGTACAAGTAAAGCATAACTGTATATTTTTCATTGTAGTTGGAATTTCTGTTTAATAAGAAAAGTATAATTTGATCTACATAACTTCTTATGCCAAAACAAAACAAATTAAATGCAGCAATGCTTATTTTACAACTTTTGTTGTCTAATAAGAGGAATTATAGACTTCCAGGAATAGTTACAAACAGTAATTGCTACTGTGAAAGTTAAATCCATATAATAGAAAACAGTAAGCTCCCTTACCCTATGAGGAACTTCCCAGGTCCAATAAGCATGTCTACCAAATTTGAGATCTACCAAACAGTTTGGTTGTGTATAACAAACACTTCTTTATAACAGATACTTAGACAGCAATCCTTCATTTAAACATGTTCTATTAAATAGAACTGGTAAAGGATATCTATTCAACCTATTCCTGGTATTTCTCTTGCTGTTGCAGATGGTTACATAAAAGGACCTTGCCAAAAATCTAATACTTTTAGCTAGATCATCTGTAGATCATTTGAAAAGAAAGGAGATTGAAAGTCCAGAAATAACAGACATGGTGTTTGCATTGTCAATTCAAAAGTTTGAAATATATGTGAGGCCACATTATGACTATGATATAAAATTTATCATCAAATGGCAAATATAATTACAGTTTATATTCATTTCAAATTTTAAAATGAAAGCAACAAAAACACCATCATAGCCATTTCTGAACTTTCAATATTTGAAAATGATCAACAAACCAAAAGACTAAATCAACATTCTTTGTCAGTTTCATTTAATAGAACAGGTGTGTATATGTGTAAAAACTATAGAATCCAATATTCTGCATTGTTAGGAACCAGAAAAAAAGCTTTTGTCAACTAAAATAGCAAATAAAAAGATATAGAAGAAAATTGTCAGTCAAAAAAGCAAATTAAATGTTTTTATTTGAGATGATGCCAAAATAGTGCCACCTCTAGAAACAGAATGACCAAGATTTTGAATTTTTTATAGGAGAGATAAATACACTTCAATAATATGTGCATAGGAAATATGCAAGTTTTTATTCTTAAAATTGAAGACAATTTGTTCATATACCTTTTATCAACACACATCTACTTAATTGAAAATCACATTTTTCAAAATCTACAGAAACACTGATTGCAAACCCAAGTCAATAACAGAGCATATAATATATTATTATACATATATTTTTAATAAACATATAGTTTCAAGCAACAAAGTTAAACAGGATAATTGGCAATTTAGAACAATCTACTAAAAGCTAATTTATAAGTAAAGAATTACAATGTAATAAACATCTAAAAATGTGAAAACTGGGCGTATGCCCTCAAAGTTGAGTAAAGCCAATATTTATCTGCTAATAAAAAAAAACTTATACAAAATAGCTAAGCACAGAACTTGTACAAGGCCACTGAATATATAAAAAAAAAAATTTTTTCTATGGAATGGCTCTGTTACACTTCAAAACACACCACACTCTGTGACATCATAGCAGACTATTGTTCTTTTTCAAAACATCTATCTTGATCCTCACTCACCTTCCTGTTCCCCATCACTGTCACATTACACACATAGCAAGATAAACATAAAATATATGTTAGGTATCTGACTGCTTAATATAAAAGTGTTGTTTGATGATAGCTACTACACAGCAAAATGGTTATTTCGGTAGAAAGTATAGGTCATTCAAATGTTAATAAATTTCTTATTCTTACAGCACTAATATTTCAAAGGTTAAACAATATAAAAACACATTTACAACAGAGTGTAAAAGCAGAGTGAAAGCGAGGATAAAAATTAACAGCACTGAAAGAGTTTGGTATTCATGAAAGTAATTTGTTGCAATAAACTAACTTGATTAGCAGTGAAATATAGTCAACTAGCCAAGTCAAAGTATGATTCATCAATGGAAGAACTTTAATCAGCATGTAACAGATCTCAGATTTCAGAGTGCACTCACCCATTCGCCCACTCTTTTCTGCAAAGAGCAAGTCTTATTAAAAAAAAAAAAAAAAAAAGACATGAAATGAAAGATTGAGCCATGGATTTTACTCATTCTAAAAGGAAGTGATGCATTATCAGGCATAAATGATCCATTTTAGGGATCTTTCAGGAGATCAATATGAAGAGCTGGATGACAAGACAGATGAAGAGAAATTACTATGAAACATCAAAAATCTTTTCATGGCCTTTACAGGCTAGTGGCAACCTGATTAAAGCCATCTGCTAAAACAATATTTTAAGTTACATAGGAATTCTGAGCTTTAAACTAAAACTGATCAATAATATTTAGTAAAACCTGAAAAGATGTAAAATTAGAAAAGGTACATTGGAATATGTGACAATTTGGTAGTTGAGGATGTAATAGAAAGCAACAGAAAAAAAAATGAATATCGCCAGAAATACATTTCTTTTTTGTTCAAATTTGCTAATACTATTAGATAAATATGCTAATTTAATTTTAATGCATTTCTAAGTGAAAACGATATCAATTAGTAAGTCATTTTTCCAAGAATTAAGATTTATTGCTACAGTTTATAGTTAACAGCAAATAGAAATCATTTCTCTGCAAAACAAGGAGACAAATTATAGCAGATAGCAATAATATCAAAACCTCAATTCTTATACAAACAAAACATAGCTAATTAATTTCACTTTAAAAATTTAAACCAATAAAAAGATCAATAAAACAGAGCTTATGGGATGATTACTGAAAACAATGATACATCCAATAATAAATACTCTTAGATTAAAAAGAAAAATCAAATGTCAGTTTCTAGAAACATTTAGCAGCCAGCAAAATCAGATTTTTTTATTTTTAATCAAACAAGAAATCAATTAGAAAAGCTCCATGTAATTAATCAATCTTTGAAACAAACATTGCTACAGATTTCAGAATTACAAGAATATTGTCAGACCAAAGAGTAAATGACAAAACATTAAGCTGCATTATCAAGTTCTGGTTCAATATCTGTAATACAAGAGAGTGCTAAAAAGTTCTCACCTTGACCAAGATCTTCAAAAATAGATTAAAAAAGTAAATAAATTTTGATGGTTTGTCAGATTTTAATTGAACAAAGAATTTTTCAGTAACCCCACCCACTAAACTAGTACTGAAACAAGAAACAAAAAAGGAAAAATAAAATCTGCCAGAATAGCAGTTTTCCAAATAAATTTTTTAATAAAATAATTTCTGCCTATAACCACAAAAATTAAAAGAACTATCATTAACTTTTACTGAAAATAAATTAAATTAAAGATTATCAAATACAAATTTAAATGTACTGATTTTTTTATGTATAATTTATGATTTGGCAAAGGATAAAAATGTGAGCTATTTCTGTTTCATTGAAACAAAAGTATCATGGTTAGTCAATTTACTTTACTAGTGGATAATTTTCAACATTAATTTCAAAATCTTAAAATTCCTATATTTCTGATAGAATATCTTTAAGTACTATGTATTAAAAAAAGAAAAAGATTCTTAAGTATTCAATTGAGAAAAATAAAAAAAGAACCCATATATTAAACAAGCATTTTAAAATACAAGTGTTTTATTTATCTACATCTTTATTACATTAAATAAGGTACACTAACAAGGCACTTTGAAATAAAATAGAAATAATTCTTTCTTTTTTTTTTTAAAATATAAAAAAAAATAATGAGGCAAATTTAAATTCCAAAAGGATGAGAAATATTTGAAGCACAGCTGAATCAACTGGGGACATCTTTTCATATTGTAATGATTAGCAGGCTTGTCTTGAAAATCATTACTTGTAAGTTCAATCCTCACTGGATGTTCTATACTTGTGGCTTTGTACTAAACTAGGTTATGCTATGCAGAAGCTAGACAGTTCTTTTTACATTTTACCAAGAGGCATTTACTAGTTATTAGTTGCAAGTACAAATGTGAACAGATTTCAGCAGGGATAATGGGTAATTGGTTTAGTTTACTTAGTCAAAGTGCAACAGTATACTTTACATTGTAAAAAGGTCAGGCAGGTTGTGATCACTTAAAAAAAAAAAAAAAATCAACTTCAAATAACAAACAACTCAGGGTGAACATTAGACGAAAGTATTTGCTAGCGTAACACTGCAATCAGGTGGAAATAGTATTATTCATTGTCTTGAATTTTCCTCTGGCCCTGCCAGAGTGCCTTGATCATTTATGGCCTGAGTAATAATAAATAGAGAAGGACAGCTCCAGGGGTTCTATACTCACAATCTGCACATCCCTGTTAAAAAGAGTAGAGTTAGTGTCTTAGTCATGCCAAAAGGA